AAAAAGATTGTAGACTACAAGATCTCAATTATGTTAAGTACATCCAAGTGTAGGGGGAAAAAGAATAAAAAGAAGAAACACTTTAAATAGTAGAATGCACTTTTGTGTTCATATATATTAATTTCATTCCATAATTAAACTTCACAAGCAATACTATCTCCAAACCTAATAACCTTTTTTTATGCTTCTCTAAGGAAAAATGCAGAATAATCTAGAAGGTGCAATTTCAGAGAAAAGAAATAATCTTTTTAAAAAAGTACTGGTTTCTGCTGGTGCCTGCAATCACACTATTATAAAAGAATATGATATGTAACATGTCTTATACAATTATTACATTCTTACATAATTATTATAATAGACACAATTAAAATATAGGAAGGGAATATCATCCCCGATAATAATGTTCGGATAGCCACAATGTAGTGAATTTTCTTGTAATTGTTTTTCTTTGTAAAGTTTTTATTAGCTTTACGTGCTGTGATCATACTGTATGAATACTTTTGCACCCTGCTTTTTCAGTAAACAACATTAATGAGATGTGGTAGAGATCTGCTGTACAGTTAAGAGACTATCAAACTCAAAACTAAACACTATATACAAGAAATAAGAATCCTGACCATTACTCAATTTCCAAGTTCCCTCCACTCACTTAGAAGATGTTTACTGTTTATAGCTTTTGTACCACAGCAGTGCTGGGGGCTACTACTACTACTACTACTACTACTACTACTACTACTACTGTTACTAATCCAAAGCATGCCTTGACCTCAAGAAGTTCTCAACTCAGCAAATAACCTCTAACTTCATGGAAATATAGATTTACCTATATAAGTTTGAAAGTTCTGAAATAAATGCATGAAATTTAGCTATTTCTAGCTTTGCTCTTTTGAAGTATATACACAAGGATTTATCTCAGACAATAAGTTTTCCATGTTGTATCCATATAAATGAAAGAGTTGACAACTTTTAAACTCCCTCTATATGTATTTTTCAACATTTATTGCAATTAGTACTTTTTATTGCTCTTGATCACTTTGGTTTTAGTAACCAACATTAAGAACTTCATTTCCTCAAAATGTGGATCTTTAGATTATTCATCGTACCTCTTCTATCCTGCACATTTGCATGATACACTGTGTGCTGACAGATAATCACAGTCTACCAACTAATTAGATGATGTATAGTGAATGTTCCAATATGCACAGGTGCTCATACCCAAATATACAGTGACCCACTTGCACCTGGAACTATTTGCATTATATACCCAAATATCAGCAATTGTATCTGACTTCACTTCTCTGGAAAAATTAAAGCGCTTCCAGTTGCTAATTTCCTTTGCTATCTTCCAGTTTAAGTTTAGGTGTTTAAATGGTGTCTCAAGGTATGAAATAAAACAAGGCACTATCTCCAAACCTAATAACCTTTTTTTATGCTTCTCTAAGGAAAAATGCAGAATAATCTAGAAGGTGCAATTTCAGAGAAAAATAATCTTTTTTAAAAAGTACTGGTTTCTGCTGGTGCCTGCAATCACACTATAAAAAAAGAATATAGTATGTAACATGTTTAAGTTTAGTTGTTTAAATGGTGTCTCAAGGTATGAAATAAGAGATAAAACAAGGCACTGAGTCATAATTTCAAACCTTCTCCAGGAGTAGTGAGTGGGAGCTAGGGAGCACTGAGCAGTCAGAAAATCTGTTCTCTATTTCAGTTTCCACCACTTACTAGTGATGTGAATGTGAGCATGTTTTCACTAATGAGAGCCTTAGTTTTCTTATCCATAATACAGAGGTGGTAATAATCTCACCATACTTACAGCATTATTGCAGGAAAGCAAATACCACAGTAAACCAAGTGCAAAACACAACGTAAGTGTTAGGAATTAGGACTAAGGATCATTAATTTATTCTGTTTCCTAAAAAGCTTAATATAATCAAGTTTTATTTTTGGAAAGGCACTGTTCCCTTATATTTATTTCTAAGTTGTCACAACTCTTTCACATAAAAAAGGTATTTTTCAGAGACAGCACCTGTAATTTAGCAAAAGGGCTGCTGCTATTATCAAGGAGCTGCTGGCAGAAACTCTAGAGACATGTTTGGGAAACAGAAAAAGAGAACCAGGACAGCAAAAACAAATTGGACAGTAATTTGAGTTCCTCTTATTTTCGGATTGGATTCAATGCTGAGACATGCCTAATCTCTGTCACTCTACAATGAGGATTTAAAAAGTTGTCATGACGTAAGTCTTTTAGAAGAACAGTCCAATAATTTTTATTTCAAAGTTGTTTCAGGGTCTAAGTTATGAAAGAGTCACTAATGGTTTGGACCCTTAGAGACTTATGTTTTGTTTGCCAAGATTTTTCCATTACTGAAGATTACCTAGTTAGGTCCCTAATGACATTTGTTTATATCAGACATCCAGGAAACAGAAATCTACAGTATAGCTGAACATAACATGGTAAAGTAGTTACTATCTCCAAAGATCTAAAAAGGAATAAAGAACAATACTTAGAAAATGTTAAATTTTGCTACTACCCTATAAGAACTAAACATGCTTTATCATAACTGTCAGGAAATTTTACTACCTTAACTGGAACATATATTGAGTGGGGGAATCTGTTTTACTGTACTTATTTTGATCTGTAAATACACTGCCAAAAATTCTACTGTCAGATTCCCAAGACACTACGAATCTACAGATGTAGCATGGTTTTTCCCAACTAAACTAAGCACGTAGCAGCTGCTACCCTAGTCGAAATACCTATTATGAGAATGTCAAAAAATATGTTCTTTTGAACACTTTGCTTCTTTTTTTCTCACTTAAGTCTCTTACTGGCACATAACAGTCTGCCTCCTTTTCCTCTAAACATCTCTCTTTCCTATATCATAATATTCCGTTACGTAGATGTGCCATAGATTTTTTCAAGTACTTTCTAATTGCTGGCCACCTGACTTTTCAAATTTTGTTATTACATACAATGGTTCAATGAATAACTTTGTTTACTTGGATTTAATCTATGCACAGAACAGATTTCTAAAACTGATAATGCTTAGTCAAAGGGAAAAAAAATGTATCTGTCATTTTGGTAGATACCACCAGTTTCTGCTCTATAGGAATTATGCCATTTTGCATTCCCACCAAATGTGTGAATACTGACTTCCTGAATACCATTAATAAAAACATACATGCCTGGTTCCTGTCCCCTCTCCACCACCCTCCCCCCACAAATTCTGATTCAGTAGATAAGCAAGCCTCAGCAGGCCTATCTTGAAAAGGTGACCCAACAACACATCCCTGAGTGAGAACCCCTACTGTAACAGGTATTCTAGTCTTATTTATATTGTTCAAATCCAAAAGAAAATCAGTTAAATCTTTAAACCCCAAAGTTTATGCTCCACATCACACATTTAATACATTTTGAGTTACTACTATGTGCTGAGTACTCTAGCTGTAAAGAGGGTAAAAAGATAAATACTACTATCTGTCACCAAGGAGCTGCCAGGGTCTAACTATGACAGACACAGACATATAATTAAGAGACAATATATAGAAACTTATGTGGAATTTTATAGGAATATTGCAGAGGGGTATTTCAGCCTAACAGGAATACCAGAGGAGCCTTCTGAAGCAGAGTAGGAATGAACCAGGTGAAAAGTAGAGGGTATACAAAAAAAGGTAGACAACAAAAGAAGCAAAGCAAGGAAGTAAGAAATAGAAGAGATGAATATGTAACTGGAAACATTTCACAAGGGAGACAAGTAAACAATAGGCTATAAAAGTAGGCAGCGTTCAGCTCCCTCAGCATCTAGTATGTCATTATGTCTAAACAAACACTATTCTATAGGCAAAGAAAGGGTTTTAAGACTGGGAGTGAAAATGATCAGATTGTTTTAGATTTATGGACAGTGCTGTGGAATGGCACAAAACTGAAAAAGGAAAGTACTATTAGGAAACTTGGTGCAGTAATCCAGGTGAACACTTGAATTGGAGCAGGGGTTAGGAATAGGAGGATGTAGATATTAAATGTAGGGGTAGAGGTGAACAGAAGAATGATTTCAAGGCATCATCAAACCACTTCCAGCAAAACACTGGATTTAAGCTATTTCTCAGCAGCAGTGATAGTTTTACACCAATTCAGTCATGCTCCTTACCGGGTCTTGACATGTGTGAGGCCAATCATAGATGAATAGGGCCCGGCAAAAAACAGGCAGAAATGATGATTTTTTTTCTCTTTTACTATCATGCTCTAATCAACACTTTGCTTCTTTTTTTCTCGCTTAAGTCTCTTACTGGCACATAACAGTCTGTCTCCTTTTCCTCTAAACATCTCTCTTTCCTATATCATAATATTCCGTTACGTAGATGTGCCATAGATTTTTTTCAAGTACTTTCTAATTGCTGGCCATCACCATAAGCAACCCCAACAGGCAGACATAATAGTACATGGTAGTATCTTGATGCTCTGATGGCTTAGAATAACTCCTCTACTGGTGAATCTCGACTCCATTGTCCTCTATGCTGGTGAAGTCAGTGACCTAGACAACTACTAACAACATGAACACCTCCAGCACAGGGAATGATATATGGTTGAGGGGCAACAGCACAAATAGCTGCTTTCCCAAAACTTAAGCCAAAATCAGCGTTATAGTAACGTCAAGCTTTACAATGTCAGCAATGCATTTTGGGCAGCATGCAAGTCTGTCACCAAATGCAGACAATCTCTGGAGGTGGAAAAATCTGGGGAGGAAGTTTACTCTGAACCAATCCCATTCCCCTGATTTATGCGAGTCAAGTGTAATGGTTCAGCAGGGATGGAACAAGAGGGAATTGTGCAAAATCCATATTAATCCTAGCCCTTATCGCTCAGAATTTTCCTAAAAAACAAGCTAAAGGGAAACCCAAAACAATCAACAACCATCAGATGAAAGTAAGTACAATGCATAGAAAGTACATGAATGAAACACACACACACACTCTCATACATAGTATCTCTAAAGGCTTACCTTTCTTTTATCTTCATCTGTTGATTCAAATTTGAAAGTAGCCCTATGCTGAGGGGGGAAAAAAAGGAGAACAGTGTCATTTTAAATATACAGAGCTTAAATTTGGGCTGTTTAAAAATTCATACTGTGTCTGTAAAAATGTTGCCTTCCCAAATCACATTTCAATATTCTTATTAAAATAAGAGACACAGGCACATAAATAATCATAAAGCAGTATGAAAAGACAAGAGCAGAAATATAATTGTCACAGAGTACCACGTCACGACTGCCCAGAGAAATCTGGAACACTTAGCATAGAGCATCTGACCTGGATCTTGAAGAATGAATAGGAGTTTGCCAAGAGGTGAATGGAAAACTATCTAGGGACAGAAACAAAGGCTCAGATGAGTGAAACAGCACATCTGTAATGCAAGTTCTGTTAGAGCAGAACATAGGACACACGTTAGGGGGTGAGGGAACAGAGAAAGATGAGAATGGGAGAGTAGACAGGTCAGTTGTTTGGAAGCCTCCATCGATGCTGCTAAGATGGCCGTCCTCTCCTTTTCATATACAGTAAGAAATCATCAGAGAACTGTGGATAGGGAAGAGACCCGATACTGGCACTTTGGAAAAGTAATTCTATGAGAATGAAAGTTTAAATCATGGCTCTACCACTTATTAACTGTGACCTTGAGCAAGTAACCAACTACACCTGGATTTCTCATGTGAAAACAAGAGGTACCTAGTTTACAGAGCTGCTGTGAGGGTTCAAAGATCTAAGGCAAACAATATACCATCTTCGGTATCTGGCACACAGTAAACACTCAGTAAATACTAGTGTTACAATGATTATGATGATGCCAATGATGCTGAGGAAAAGATAACTGGAATAACGTGTCATGACTCCTGAAACATTTGGCAACACTGTATTTTCTACTCTGTAACACAACAGAGGAGACAGTAAATTGACTGACCCACTGTGACAGTGATAGCTCCCCCAAATCAGAGTATAAAATTCCCCATTTTCCTTTGAAGTTTTATTCAGAGCAACTAAGAGCCCTTTTGAATCCTAAGTATTCCTTTGAAAAATCCCTCATAACCATCTCTTTGTCTTGCTTTTGTATTTCTCTCCTTGGTCACACTGTCTAGTATTTATTGGCAACACACCAGGAGTTTAATCCAGTAAGTATTAAAGGTATCACCATTACAGACGGTTGTGCGTTGACAGCTGTGTAGAAGAAACAATTTCTGAAATGAAATGAGATGGAAAATACTGACAGAAGAGCAGTGTGACTATAAGCAATGGTCAGATAGCATGATTTGGAGGTTAAGAGAAAGGGTCCTTTGAGGAAACCTAAGAGAGGCTGCCAAACATGGTTTACAAAACAATTAAAAGGGATGAACTCAAGAGATAAGGGGTTGTATTTAAAAACTTATACCTTCTAGCCAACCAACTTCAACTGTATGTTAAAACAGTCATACATCATTGTCAAGTGGGACTTATGCCAAGGATGCAAGGATTTTTGAACATTCACAAATCAATATGATACAACACATTAGCAAAATGAAGGATGCACACTTATATGATCATCTGAATAGACGCAGAAAAAGTTCACAAAATTTAATATCCATTTATGATAAAAACTCAACAAAATGGGAATATACATCAACATTGTAAAATTAATGTATGACAAGTCTACAGCTAACATCTTACTTAGAGGTGAAAGGCTGAAAACTTTTCCTTCAAGATCAGAAACAAGGCAAGGGCACTCCTGGGGCAGCAATAGCAGCACAGGCCCCCAGTAAGACTACTGGACAAGGGCAGAGAGAGGAGGCACACCCCGAGGAGGCAACACAGACCCTGATAATGGAAGACCAAAAAAAAAAAAAAAAAGTGGCAAGTTAATTCTGCAGGGGAAAACACCATCACAGAAAGAGACTAAATCTCCAGAACCCAATCACAAAGACACTGAAGATCTGTTCTTCCTATCAGGTACAGAATTACAAATTGCCTTGATAGAGAAAGTCAACAAAATGAAAGAAAACAGAAAAGCAGATCTAAAATATGTACAACTAAGAAAAACAAATGAATGCCCTGAGAAATAAAGTTAATGAACAGAAGATTGAAAATGAAGGTTTAATAACAAAATAACAGGGCCTCCCCAGTGGCTCAGTGGTTGAGCGCTGGGTTGCGAGGCTGCCTGCAGCCTCTGCAGCGCTGGTTCAATCCTCGGCCTCCGGCGAGGGTCCCACATGGTACGCAGACCTCTCCTGCCGTCCGCTGCTCCCCTCAGCAGTGTACTTCGATCCTTTTGCCTGTTCTGCTCCCCGCTCTGGCTCTGGTGAATTCTCTCACCCCCCCGTGCTTCTGACTGTACCCAGTGCTTGCATAAATAAATAAATATTAAAAAAAAAAAAACAAAAACTTATACCTTAACTGGCAGAATGGTGAGAGCCAGTCAGGAATAGACTATGAAGGAGGTGTGAACACTAGCAGAGCATACTAGAAGAATGTTTTATGCAGCAGCTTACAGGCAGGTCAAAGGAGAGCAAGACTGAGGACATAAAGCCCTCTGCCACATGGGCATCAATAATCCATTTGTGATATTGCTGGCAGCAATATGAATTGACACTTTAAAAGGGAATGTGATTTGGCAACACCTATTAAAACCATAAAAATAGTCATACCCTTTGACCCAGAACTTCTCCTCCTAAGAATTTATCTCAATAAAATCATCCAGGAGAGAGAAATTATACACGCAAACATATTCACTATAGTGTTATCTAATGAAAGAAAATATATCCTAAGTGTCCAACAACATGAGACTAATGAAATTAGTTGCTATGCATCCACCTGATAAGATTATATTGTAATTTTTTTAAAAGATGGGCTAAAATGTTAACACCACTGAAAATTACTTATGATGGCATTAAATGTGAAAATATTAAAACATCAATTTACATGTTGATGATGACAGTATCTATATAAATATACAGATGCATTTGAACAATGGTTTGTGTTAAAATGAAAAAAAAGCAAATGTACAGGGGTGGAGGAATTTCTGATTATTTCTTTAACAAAACTAATTCTTGGTATATTATTTTTATAATTAAAGGAAAATTTTTTAATAAAAAATGAATTAATGGATTCATTAACAAGGAAACAGAGAAGGAAAATGAGGGAGGAAAAAATAACAAGTTGTAAATCTGTAGGCTATAACTTAGAAATTTATAGACCAGAGGTTTAGTAAAAACTTAACATTAGAGAAATGATAAAGCACCACCAGATATCAGGCTGAGGCTGTAAAGTGAAGTTCAGTAAAATTCCAATACAAATTAAAATAAATAACTGCACTTAGAAACCTGGAAAGCTTATTTTTTGCATTATATGGGTTTTTTTTTAAAGATTTATTTATTTGTTTGTTTATTTTATTTATACAAGCACTGGGTACAGTCAGAAGCGCGGGAGGGTGAGAGAATTCACCAGAGCCAGAGCGGGAAGCAGAGCAGGCAGAAGGACCGAAGTACACTGCTGAGGGGAGCAGCGGGTGGCAGGAGAGGTCTGCGTGCCATGCGGGACCCTCCTCCGGTGGCCGTGGCCGGGGAGCAGCTGGTGATCGAAGTGGTGCTGCAGAGGCTGCGGGCAGCTTCGCAACCCAGCGCTCAACCACTGCGCCACCGGGGAGGCCCCTATTTTCTGCATTATATGTTAAGTATTAATTCCACAGTTTATCTAGAATAAGTGTACCTAGTTGCCAATATAGTGATTCTTCTAAAACTTCTTTGGCATTAATGGTAAGAAAACAGAAAAAGAAATTGTCTTTTGGGAAGGCCCTCAATAAGTTATAAAAGTATTTTTTTAAACAGTTTCTATACAGAAATCTTATATTTACTAGTCTTTTAAGGTGGTTATTTAGAAAAGTACCAAAGACTAATTTTTCTTTTGCTTTTTAAAGGCAGGGCTGTTCCTGTCAAAAAACACAACATTAAAAAAGAGAAGCTCTCAAAAGCCCTGTCTAGCTAGCATGAGGGCTTAATTTAACTAGAAAATATGCTGGTATGTGAGGCAATACAAACTGAATTTTGAATATGTCAATCTACTCAGAATCTCACCCCTCTATGACTGGATCTAAAGATGTTGGCTTTTTGTAAGGCTAGCTTTTTTTAATGTAGCTTAGATCACACCTAACCTGCTCCTTACCTCCAATCTTAACAATCTCTACTTTCTAAGGCCAAAAGGGCAGAGAAGGGGAGCTAGCATTTCTGCCTGCAAACACCATTCTACAACTTCTAGCCAAATAGTGAACTGTCTCACCTTTATGAACTTAATTTCCAAACGCGTCAACTAAACCACTGTTCAATTTAGAGATCAAGGAAGTGAGGAACAGCTGTAAGACAGATCATATTCGTATGAGGGCCTCTGCTACAGGTTTTATATCTTGAATATGCTCCAAAAAAACTCAGCCTCAGGAGGCTGACAGCACTGGGTTTGAGTCCAGTCCCACTGTCTACTAAAACTGTGACCTTGGGTCAAGTTACTCAGCTTTACTGACCATTCTCCTTTATGTATATAGCCCTCGCATATGGCCGGTGTTCAAAGAGTGGCTACTACAGTTATCAATGCATGGCCTACGATGTGGCACCTGCCCAAATACTGAACTATTAAAGAACTAGCAGTTATTTCAAATTCCCAAAGATATATTAAAATAGTACCGAGACAAGGAATTACCCTAATTGGGGTGGGGGAGGGGTGTGTGTGTGTGTATGTGTGTGCGCGCGTGTGTGCGTGTGCGCAGTGTGTTTCATTACTTCTAGAACTAAACACCAATAACTAAGATTATATAATCTAGTCTGGAAATAAGAACAAGGTGTAACAAAGGAACAACCTACTAAATATACTCCTCTGCAAAAATCTGTAGAATGAACTCAAAAATGTCAAAACGCAATCTCAAAGATGAAAGCAAAAAAGTCTGCTTACATGATCTAGGATATTCATATGCCATATTCAAATGTGGGGGCTATACATCTAGAACTATCCCAGTATTAGGTCTTCTAGCACATAAATGAAGACCTCGAGGCTATCAGTGTGATTTCCTCTCTTAGAAGTACTACTCTTGGAGCCTTACCGATTCACTTGTATCTTAAATAAACTTTACTTTCATTTGGCCATAAACTTGTCATACTTCCAAAGTGGAATCCTGCTGAAGCTTGGTACAGAACAATCTCATAAGCTCAGGTGGCCTCTATGGCTGCCAAGCCATCTCTCTGGTTATCATTATAGCGAATGACTCTGGGCCTCAGCCTCTTTACCATTAACAAAGGAGGCTGGACTCAATTATCTTTCCATTTCCTTCTAGTCTAAATATCCTGTGATTCAAGGATTATACTACCAATGAGCACCTGGGGGTGGGGGCAAAAGGGTGGTAAATGCTGTTTATTATTGATCATCATGATAATGACAGCAACCAACCTCTCTAGTAAGTCTATTATCAGAATAGGTCCTGAAGGAGAAAGGGGAGTTTGGACTCCTAGACTAGAACAAGACATACTTGCCATAATTATAGCTCACTCTATACCTAGAGCTGAGGTGATCAGGACCCAAAGTAGCCAAAGAAATTAGTGTACTAGTCCTGAAAAAAAACTTTCTTTTTTGTGATCAGAAACCATGACAGGGTAGAGGCAACATGGCTCAAAAGAGTCTTGGAAATGGAATCTGAAGCCTAGGTCTGCACATTCTAGTTATGTGCCCTTGAGCCAACAGATAATCACTTTGTCTTTATGAACCACAATTTCTTATTTCCTTCTCCCCCAAAAGAGAATACTTCCATCTCTCTCACAAGTTTTAATATAAGAGGATTATATATATATATATGATGAAATGTTAAAGTGCTTAGGATAATACATAGTAGGCACTTAATAAATGTTAACAGGTGAATTGAGAGGAGTGAAAAAGAACAACTATTCCTCCTTTAAAAAAATATACTTTCTTTCCCTTGCTGAGTCAACTTACAGGACGCCCTTGAGAAACAGAAAAGTTCTGTTTCTGGGATAGTTGTATCTTCCTTCTTCTTGAGATAACGAGGGATTGTAAATGAAGGAAGCTTGGAAATTAGTGTTTCTATAACACAATATAAATTAGATGTTGTAACCAGGAGCCAGAGAGGTACGTCGTATTGTGCTACCCTGCAGAAAGTGCAAGGATTTAAGCGAATGAAATATATCCCCCATTTTAGAGGGCGATGTCAACTCAGTGCTACATTGTTTAATTCCTGTCTTTTTTGGTTCAAAACTAAGTTATGGGTTCTTCCTCAATGCTAGGCATTGTTCTAAGGGTTTCGCACATATCTTATTTAATCCTGGCAATAAGCCTATGTTTATTGTAGGTACCATCATTATCCTTGTTTGACAGATGAGGAAACTGAGGCACGGCAAAGTTAAGTAACATGTCCTAGGCCACACAGCTAAGTACACTGAAGATCAGAGTCCAGGCAATCTGGCTGTAGAGTCTGTGGTCTGGCCGCCAGACCTCTTCAGTACCTGATCATTATAACTATAATTTGCTAAGTGAGTATCTCCTATCCGCATTAAGCTCTGTGTTTGACACTTTATTTCCTCTAATTTGAACCTCATAATAACTTAAATGATGTTATCTCCACTTTACAGATAAGGAGACTGAGACTAGAGGCTTAAAATAACTTATCCATGGTCATGAAGCTAATATATGGCAGATTTGAACCAAAGTTTATCTGACTCCCAATCCCACCTTTCCACTATACTTGACAGCCTCTTTTGATAACTGGCTTTACCGCTGAAATAAGGCAGCATAAAAAACCTCCTTCCCCACACAATGAACCTATCGTTCTCTCAGTGCCCCAGAATCCCCTCTTACTCTAAACATTTCCCAAATCCATTCTTTCAGATAAAGAAAACGAAGCACCAACTACTTTTTCAGTCTTGGACTCCATACCTCATAGTGCTAGGCAATTTAATTGCAGCTCCCCATGCTTATTGCCAAACCGCTGCGGTGATACTTCCCCATTCTATTCATCTGACCCCAAAGTCTCTTCTCGAGAGGCAAAGCCTCCCTGTCAAGGTGAAACTTGGCTATTTCTCTGTACTCTGATCCTACTACTGATATTGTCAGCAGGAGAGTTCCTTTCCCAAGGAGATGAGGGGCCCATTTCACATCAAGTCAAACATTCTGAGTTAGCCCAAAAAGTGCAAGTGTTTGGGAGGACGCCCAAATCTTTGCGGATCCTCCCCAAACACTTCAGGAATACCACCTTAAACAGTAGATAATGGGTATTACAATGTGAAAGACATCCCCAGTGGAAAAGATGTCCACAACTTAAGCTCTGACAGCAGTTGGTAAGTGGAAACCAATCTGGAGGAAGATCACGGCGAGGAAGAGATAAACTGCAAGAAGCAAATCTGGGGATCTAATCAGTTTACCCACGAAGGAAAGGAGAAATATTGAAGAAGGTAACAAGATCCAGTGGAAGTTCTTGCTCACCTCTTCCGGCTAGAAAGTTACTATTTATTGTTGTTATCTTGTATATACAGTAAATATTAAAATAAATATTAGTTTATTGAACACACAGACCAAGTTATTTGCTGTACTTCTTTCTTTTGAAAATCAGTTTGTACCTCAAACTGCCTCAAACCTTTTCTGGAAAGTAACTATAAGCCCAATTAAATGAATATAGCCTCTATAATATGTACATCTGTGATTAATTTCTAAATTAGGCAGCTATGCAACAGGAAAGCGTATCAGAAAAGTGAAGGAGTTAAGATATGAACAGAAGTGGATTTCCACGCATCCTCCCAAAGAAAGCAGCACAGTACTGCAGAAAGAGCAGTCAAGACAACCGAGATTCAAATTTCAGCCCAGTCTCTCAGAGAATGGTTGTGTGGACTTAGGTCGTTTACTTCAATTTTATCATCTATGAAATAGGGAACACCACCACTTTTCTCACAAGGTTGTTGGGAAGATTAGATGGGAATGAGGGTGTCTTATTTTTGGATCTTTCTCCACCCGGGGTAGAATTAGCACACTGTCAGTTCAAAACATACAAAAGGGCACAGGGAAGAGGTAGCTACATCAAACGGGGGTGGGGGGGGTGGGATGGGGACTATGACTGGAAGCAAATGAAAAAAAGAAAGATGGAACACCTAAGGGTGCGACTTCTTGTTGGCTATTTTCACGTAAGGGCGGTGTCATTCATTCCTGTAAAGCAGTCTCCCAAAGAGAAGAATAAGGAAATGGGATGCCACCCCTTGAAGTGAGCACGTAAAACTCCTGTAAGGAAAAAGAATGTGGAGAGCTAACGGTTCTTAGAAAGCGATTCAGAGAAGTGACTAGGATTTCTAACAAGATGCCCTTTTTCCTGCAGAGTTGTAAAGTGGCAAGAACACCCAGTGGGTGGGTAGCCCGAAGACCTGGGGTGGAACCCCAGTTCAGACGTAGAACTTTGGGCAAGTTACTGAATGGATGGAGAATCTCAACTGCCAAACTCAGATGAACCCTTACAGGCGTGCTGTCCAGAGGAAAAGAGGCAACGGATGTTCACGCCACACACTGAAGTGCTGTCAGGAATCAGATGCTCGCCCCCCTACACCTCCTCCTTCCAAACACAACCCGTCCACGACCTCGGCGTCATTTTTGTTCTTTATGCCTCGGTTTTCTCACCTATAAAATGGGGGGGGGGTGTGGGGGGGGGAAATGATACCATCTACTTCATAAACATTCAGAATCGAGCGAGACCAGGCTGGAAGGCACGATGCCTTGCAAACCGCAGCGTTCCAGGTACAGAAAGCGCCGACGAGCCGCACGCCCGCCCAGGGCCGTGTTTATGCAGAGAAGCACGTCTGTCCACGCTCCCCAGGTGAGGACGCCTCAGCGCGTTTCAGCATCCCGTTACGGGGCGCGGGGCGCGCGCGCTCCTCCCGGAGGCCGGGGTGTGCCCCGCGCGCCCGAGCCGGAGCCCGAGGAGGGGGCGCCCGCGCGGGGCAGGGGGTGCGGGACGCCGCGGCGGGGGAGCCGGGGGCACAAACACGCATGCCCGGGCCGGAAACGCTTTCGGGGGGGGGGCGCCAGGCGCATCCCGGGATGAGGGGGTGGGGAGGGATGCGCCGGGCAAGCCCGGAGGGCCGCCCGGGGGTGCGACTCCGCGCGCCCGGGGCCAGGACGCTTTACCTTCTCGCTGTAGTCCCGCAGGACCCGCTCGATAGCCCCCGCCTCGCCGGCCCGGACGATGTAGAGGGCGCGCTCCTCGTCCATGGCCGCAGGTGCGGGGGAGCCGCGGCCGCTCGGCGCGCCCCGGCCGCTGCCTCCAGGTAAACGCCTCGCGCCCCCGCTCGCTCGCTCGCTCGCTCCTTCCCAGCTTCCTTCCTTCCCTCCTTCCCTCCCTCCCTCCTGCCTCCAGCCCGCCAGCCTCCGCCCGGGAGGCCCGACGTCACCGCCCCTCAACTTTCACCCCGCGACGTCACCCGTCCCCCAGCAACCGGCGCCTCGCGGCCGCCCCCGACAAGGCCCAGGGCTCCGCGGAGGCCCGGCGAGGGCCTGAGGCGGGGTCAGGCCCGAGGCCCGGCGGGCGCGCTGGCCTCTCCCGCCCTCGGAGCGGAGCACACCCTTTTAAACGGGCTTCCCCGGAGAGAACTGGTCTTCTCTCCTGACCCTCCTCTATGATTCATTCTCCTCGGCTGACGAGAGCAGCCCGGCTCTTCCCTGCCTGAGAGCCCGCCGCCTGCGGACTACAATTCCCTCCGTGCAGCGGGGTCCTCCCGGCTTCGGTCTCGTCCGAGGGGGTGCCGAAAGGCATGCCGGGATTCGTAGTCGCCCCGCGGGCGAGACTTCCCGCCAAGGGCATGCTGGGAACTGTGGTCCCGCGAGGGCCGGAAGCGGGAGTGCGGCGGCCGCCCGAGGGCAGTCGCCGGGAGACCGTTAGGGGGAGGGCCTGGGCGCGGGCGCTGCCGCCTGTGGGTCGGTACCGGGCGGACCGGCCGGCCGGAGCGGGCGCTGGCGGGCGCCCCGTGGTGGGAACTGTCAGGCGCCGGTCCAGTTCCCTCTGTTCTCGTTTAGCGGTTTCGGCCTCTTGGAAATTCCTGCCTCCCTGGCGTGCGGCGCGGGGCGCGCTCGGCTCCGGCCGCCGGGGCCTCGCGGGCGGTTACCTGGATCGGGGGGGCCGGTGACCCCGCCTTCGGCGTCCGGCTGCCGCGTCGCGTGCGCCCCCGGGCCCCCGGCGCGGCGCCAGGGGGTTGCCCTGCCGCCGCGGGTTCTCACGACGCTGAGATTTTGGGGGCGCCCGGGGAACCCGAAAAGGTTACGAGCGCTGTCCTGAGCCCACAGCCGTGGCCAGGGGCCCCGCGATTTGACTCCCGGGGAGCAGCTGCTCTCCAGAAAATGTAACACTCCCGGCTGATGGCCGGGCGCGGCGCGGGTGCCGGAGTCGGGGTCTCGTCTGCTGGCTCCCCGCGCGGGCGTCCTGCCCGCCCCCGCCCGCGCCGGGGGCCCGGCTGCGCCCCACCCAGCGCCCGCCCGCGCCCCCCGCCGAGCCCGCGCGGCTCCCGGGCTGCAGCGCTGGGTGTCGGCGCGGTGGGCCCAGGCCGTGCCCTTGCTCTCAGGTCGCTCCTGCTCTAGGGCTTAACCCCGGGAGGGAGGAGCTGGATCTTGCAGAGGTCAAGATTTACCCAGATTGCCGGATTTGGAAACTCAATTTGAACTCGGCGCTTCCGCTCTGTTTGCGCCCTCAAGCTACCTGAGAGTAAATGAATTCGCCAAGTAGTTCCCACTTTGCCCTTTGCCAGAAATCCTCTGTCATGCCACCAGAAATCATCTTCGATGCGTCCCCTGTGGGCCTCTCCCCTCTTGAGCTGTGCTGCTGCGGAGGAACTAGAGGTGTCAAAATGGATTCAGCTGGTTAATTATTGAGTTCCTTCTGTGTGTCAGATACCGTGCTAGGCTCTGGGAGTTTAGAGAGAAAAATAAGAGTCTGAGCTCATGAACCCTTTGGTTTTCTTATACTTTTCATGCAACAACTATTAAGCATATTTGTTGAGCCAGGCTTCGAGGTAGAAGCTATAGCCCTCGTAAGAAAGATTTTAATCCATGTCTTTAAAAAAGCACATTTAGGGGCCTCCCTGGTGGCACAAGGGGTTAAGTGTCAGCCCTATCAGGCTATCAGCAGCCACTGCAGCAGGGAGTTGGAACCCAGCCAGGGAGCTGACCCACATGGTGCAGCAGACCTCACCTGTCTGTCTGCTGCTGCCCTCAGCAGTGTATTTCAGTCACTCCAACTATTCTGCCCCCCAATGTCTCTGGTGAATCCTCTCACCATCACCCCCACACCTCTGGCTTACTCCCCAGCTCTTGTGTGCATACATAAAATAAATCTTAAAAATTTCTTTTAAAAAAAAAAAGCACATTTAGGAAGGTCATGAGATTACTATTTCTGGATAGCAGTAGTATCTTATGATTGTTTTTAACAATGTACAAAACATTTTAATATACACTGTCTCAATGGATCCTTGAGGAAGTTGTCCCTACCTTAATGGAAAGTCTGTTTAGTAACTTGAACTGGAGCTCAAACCAAGAGCTGTACCAAGGTATTTGGGTGTCTATTCTGTGTTCACTACTGTATTATGTGCTTTTTGGGTAACCATATATTTAATTTTGGAGAAAGAGCTCCCTGATAGGATATTAAGAAGCATAAAGTATCTGAGTAGAAGCGTTTCCTTTAAAGAACATCTTACACTAGTTTTTGAAGTGTCTGTTTACCAGAAATAGGCTTTTGGACTGCAAGCATGTATTTCTAAAAAGTTTTAGAAATGTGAAACCACATGAATTAATGACTTGGGAAGTTGCACTTTAGTAATTTTAATTAAGTGCTAATACTCTGATTTTTTTGAATCAAAAGGATCTTTGACTCTAATTCAAGTCATCCTTTTACCACTGACGAGACTCTGGTCCAGAAAAATTAAGTGACTTGTCCAAAGTCAATAGTTAAAAGCAGACACTAGGACTAGAGCCTAGACTAGCCAAATCCTCGATCACTACATCACTACACCACCTCCCCCCTTTAATATTTAGTTAGAATGTACTTTTCAGTGGTTAGTCCAGCACTAACTCCAATGCCAATTGATTCTTGTGTGGCATGGTTCCAAGGAATTAGGAGTTACAGCCTGGGTAATCAAAGCAACAAATATATATTCACAAGGCATTGCTCTGAGAGAGATATATAGTAATATAACCTATACATATATGTGAATAGTGCTGTACTATTCTCAGAATATCTCCACATAGATTATCTGATTTAATCCTTATAATAACTGAAAAATGCCAGGTCAATAGGACAGGCACTATCTTCCTTTTGTAGAGAAAAGGGAAGTTCAGGGTGTTGATTAGCTTGCTCATAAGCAGTAAGTCTGCTAATAAGTGGTATAGTGAAGGGCTATAAATGCACTGAGCTCTGATAACATAAAATGTTATGGACTTTCAGGTCAGGGCCAATGAAAAAGCCTGCAAATAGATAGTAGTCATTTATTTTGGACTTTGATATAGTCTGCTGTGGCATTTCCTCGGTCATGACAATGGGCTAGTCAGAATGTGCCAAATGGGAGGTTTCTAAGGAGTGCCTGGTGCTAACAGCTTTTAAAATCCAAATCTTCCACAGGCAATAATTTTTTGGCATATTTTTTAAAGGAAAGCAGAAAGTTAGAAACTAAACAGCTCAGGATAATTGCTGTAGTTCCAGAATTAGGGTTCAGAGAATTCCATTAATTCAGGGTAAGACCTGCCACTCAGTCACCACAGGCCACTGTGTGAAGCTATTCTCTCTCTTGCTTATCTCCTGTGTCCTCAGCTATAAAATAAAGGTATTGACACATCTTAGTTCTGTTTTAAAATGTTGTGGTTCTCCAGTTAAGAAGTGGGCAGAAGAGCTAAAAATACACTTCTCCAAAGAGGAAATGCAAATGGACAACTGGCATATGAAAAAATGTTCAACATCACTCATCACCAGGAAAATGCAAATCAAAACCACAATGAGATACCATCTTACACCAGTGAGAACGGCACATATCAAAAAAACTAGCAACAACAAATATTGGCGAGGATGTGGAGAAAAAGGAACTCTCCTGCACTGCTGGTGGGAGTGCAAACTGGTCCAACCACTATGGAAAGCTGTGTGTGGGTCCCTCAAACTGCTAAAATTGGAGCTCCCATATGACCCAGCAATTCTACTCCTAGGTATCTACCCAAAGGACATCAAAACATTAATTCAAAAGGGCACCTGCACCCCTATGTTTATAGCAGCACTATTTACAATAGGTTAACTATGGAAATGACCCAAATGCCCCAAAATAGATGATTGGATCAAGAAGATGTGGTTCATATACACAACGGAATATTACTCAGCAATCAAAAAAAGATAAACGCATGGCATTTGCAGCAACATGGATGGAGCTGAAAGGGATCATGCTCAGTGAAATAAGCCAGAAAAAAGAAGAAAAATACTGGTTTCATTTATAGGAGGAATGTAGAGGATCCAAATAAGGAATCGGGGGACGGGGAGGGAGTTATTATAATAAGGTAAAAATCAATCAACAAGCAACTATAAACCAGAGACATTCTGCAGGAGGGGAGAAGGGAGTAGGATCAAAACAGGGGTGGGAAGAGCACAAGGGTGATGGTACATGGGTGAATTGGTGGTGGGAATTTCACAGGGACTATACCTGAGATGAGAAAGCATATATTGTTAAAAAAAAAAAAAAAAGAAAAAGAAAGAAAGAAAGAAAGAAAGAAAGGAAGAAAGGAAGAAAGGAAGGAAAAAGAAAAACGATGTAAAAAATATATAAAATTAAAAAAAATTTAACTGTTGTGGCTCTAAGGGAAAAAAAAAACAGTGAATCTTGCCTATTTGCATATATTGCAATCAATGTATACAAATCATTGCATGGACATACCAGTGAAGAAGATTCTGAATCAATTGATCTGTGATGAGGTGTGAGTATTGGTACTTGTAAAAACTTGCCAGTTGATTTAAATAATCAACCAGAGTTGAGAACCACTGGACCCACATTTTGTTTTTTTGTTTTTGTTTCTAGGAGGCAACCAACCCCACAGATGAACCAATATTTTGATAAAGTAACAACCACTGAGCTAGTTTTTTGACAGACTACCAAATTCAGGTGCATGTGACTCCTAAGTCTTTGAGAAGTCAAAATTGCCTATCAAGATTTTGGACTTTTCATTTTCTGCCAAGAATGATGTTTTCCTTTTCTACCAGTTAATTTACGTGGCTTGTTCCTTTAACAAATATTTGGTGCTCACTGGAGCACAGCATGC